GGGAGTCACCCACCCTATCTGGGGGCATCACCTGGGGCCAGACCCCTGCTTCTCCAGGTCAGAGACTGCCCAACAAAGGCCTCTGCGCGGTGACCAGTGCGGAGAAGCTGTGCCCGGCATCTGAGTCTGCCTTGAAAGCTCAGGCGGATCCCCCGTTACCTTGGACACCACGAATTTCACTGTGTTGGGAAACCCTTTGTGCTTCCAGATTTGACCATCTCTGGGGTTCTCTGTACCTACTGTGGAAGCTCTCAGGTCTGTTCTTGATCCAAAAGTGGTCTCTTTCAGGCTTCCAGAGCCCGTCCAAAGTTCAAGGTTGTGGGGTTAACGGCCATCTCCTTATTCAGAGTCACACTCGCCCTGAGCTTAAGGGCCGCCTCAGAGGGCCTGGTGGCAGCTCTTTCCGCTCCCTCTTGGTCACTTGAGGCCCACACATCACACAGCTCATTCTGTCATGCCTTCCTTGAGGCCAGAGTCTGGCGTTATCCCTGGGACAACTCTATCCTCTGCTTCCAGTGTGGGTCTGGACACCATGCTGATCACTCAAGTCATTGAAGCAAAGTCTCTAGAGCAGCGGTTCTCAGCCTGTGGGTTGCGACCCCTTTGGGGGTAAAACGAACCTTTCACAGGGGTCGCCTAAGACCATTGGAAAACACATATTTCCGATGGCGATTCATAACAGTAGCAAAATTACAGTTATGAAGTAGCAACAAAAATAATTTTATAGTTGGGGGTCACCACAACATGAGGAGCTGTAGTAAGGGTCGTCGCATTAGAACCTTCCTAATGTGGGGATTCCCATAGGCTTCTCCAGGGGACATGGGGAAGGAGATCAATACTTCGGAGTGCCCACTATGTGCCAGGTGCTGTCCTGGGCGATAGAAGGCTGAGGTCCATTTAATAGAGGACTTTCAGGCTCAAAGAGATAAAGCAGTTTGCCTGGACTCTCCCCGCTCCTAAGTGATGGCTGCTCAAGGCCTGGTGTTCCCACTGAGCCCAGCTCTTTAGAAGCCTCGTTCAGGAAGGACGGTGGAGCTGCTGGGTGTGCACAGAGCTTTCTTCCAGACAAAGCCAGCAGGGCAGCGTCAGGTCTCTGCTCAGACGTTCAAGGAGGGAGGGGGAAGTTGAATGCAAGGAGCTGCAGCCCAGAATGAGGCCCATAGGCACCAAGAAAAGCAGCAGAAAAACAATCCTGTGTAGCCTGATTTAATGAACCAAGCCACATCATCCTTCACATGTGTATTGCACGTCTCAGTGTGCATGAGTTTTCACTTCCTTTATCTCATTGAACCCTGGGGTTAGCCAGAGGGTTCAAGCATGGAGGATGAGTTGGAGGGTGTTGTTTACAACTGGCTGAGGATCTCTGAACAATGTAGAAGTGCATAGCCATCTATATAACTGGACCTACTAAGTAATTTCCACTTGGTGGATTATTCCCCAAGAAGACAGGCCAGAACCAAGTAGTCAGAACCAAGGGGTGTCCAGCAGCTGTGGAAAGTCTGGGGTGCTTTCCTGATCGGTGATCTCAGCAGGAAATGACTTCTGCCTCCTTTTACCTTATTCTGTGGTTATGTGTGGATATCTTATGCCCTTTAAGGAACTGTAGGCTCTTTGAGGTGGATTCATTCATTCATTCATTCATTCATTCCTCATTCTCTTATTCAAGTACTAACTGATTCAACAAGTACTTGACAACTCCTTCCATTTGCCAGACATTGCACCAGGCAGATGGACATACGTAGATGAACAAAAGACACAATCCTTTCTCTGCTGGAGCTTACAGTCTATGGGAAGAAAGACAATAGCAAACAAATAAATACATAATGGTAAAATATATACAGACATTTCACATTGTGAAAATTGTCACCAAGGAAATAGTTAAGATATAGAGGTGAGAGAATCGCCCAGGGAAGCAGGGGGCAGCTGGCACGGTCCCCGGCCCAGGAACTCAACAAGCATCTGCTGAGTAGACTGAATGGCTGGAAGAAATGGTGCCAAGGGAAGAGTTCAGCTGGCCAGCTGGCCAGACAAGGCAGGCCATGTTGTGTCTCGATGTCCTCCTCATAGCAGAGTGATTTAAAATGACAAGTGCAAAAAATAATAATAACAACAAACACCAGATCTTTCACTGCATGGCAATACATACATGAAAACATTTCAACGGAAAAAGTAGACAAGGAAGCACGCAGATGCTGGTCCTAAGGACACACAAATGTTCTCCACAGACACGGCGTTCAGCACGTCAGCCCTAAGCGGGCCCTCACAGGGAGTCCAGCCTTCCCACTTGGGCAATGTGAGAAAGTGATGTTAGGTCCCTGGGGAGAATGTCTTCCTCTCTCTCTCCCCCCCTCCCTCCTTCCCTTCTCAGTTTGAAAATTGCATTAGGATCCATCTAAATGTGTTTTAACAAACTACTCTGAACTCGGGCTTTAACGCTTGTTAAGTTTCTGAGGAAAGCCTCTTGGGTTGGAGACAGCAGCTGATGGTTTCCAAGTGGAAGGTTTGTGGGGGTTGTTGTTTGTTTTTGGTTTTTGGTTTTGTTTGCAGCGGAGTCGCTGGCAGGTCCCTTGGGGCCATAATCAGGAACAAATTCAAAAATTTCACTAATATGGGCCTGGATCTGGCAACTAAAGAGAGCAGAGCACGCGCGGACAGAATCCGAGAGTCCCAAACCCTGTGTGCCGAGGTGGCCCCTGAGGCCCTTCACAGAGACCCAGCCAGGCTACACACCTGCTCAGGGACCAGCACTACCTGCCAGGGACACCCAAACAGGAGCAGCTCTTCGAGTTTTGTTTTGTTTTTCTCTCACCTCCAATCTGCTGGAAAAACACCCAAACCCTCGGTCAGAGCACCCCAGGCCTAGCAGCACCTGCAGTGAGAGGGCCGGAAGTCAAGCTAGAACGGAGGAGGAAGCAGCCTGTGCTTACCCCGGGCCCCAGGGACCGGCTGGATTCCCCCAGTGGGCAGTGGGCCATGTGCCCACCAAGGGGCCGCAGGCCTGCCTCCTGGGGAGGGCCAAGCTGCGGCCCAGCCAAAGCTGGACTCCTGGAAGGTGCCAGTGGTGTGACACCAGCCCATTAGGAAGGAGTGGGGCCTTCGGGGCTTGGGGACGTGTGGGCAAAGGAAAATTGGCAAAGATGGCATTTTTTCCACCGTGTGCTGGGCGTAAGCAAGGCCATGTCGACAGATATGGACGTGCTCAATAAAATGTTATGGGCATTAAGAGTTGCTGTCTATATAAGTATTTTGGGGGCCCGGTAAAAGGTTCTGGTTCCTGTTCTGTAGTTTGCTGGTGGTGGCTACACAAACCTACATTCGTGCCCGATAGAATTCAGCAAACTGTACGCCGAAAGAAAACAAAGTCGTTTTTACTGTATGCTAATTAAAAAACACAAACAGCGCCTTGTTCGACTCCTGTCCCTCAGGCAGGGTTTATGATTCTCATTTTGCAGACAAAACAACTGAGACTTGAGATGTTCATCATCCCCACCAGCCTCACCCACCTCTGTTTCCACCGCCTAAGTCAGACGTGGCGATTCCCTAGAACAGAAAAACAGACCCAGGGGGCTTCTCTATCCCAACCAGGAAGGCAAATGCCCTCTGTGAGTGTTTGGTGAGGAAGGCAGGCCTCACTGCTCAAGTGATTCTCTGCCGACAGCACTTCAACCTGTTAGGGAAACTCAGTTACTCAAAGGTATTAAGTTGCCTTTCGGTAAAGCCAAGGCCTCCCTTAACGCAGGGCAGCCCCAGGCAGGGGGAGACCCTCTGCGGGGAGAAGTGAAGACTGCCCCCACCCCCAGCCCGGCTGCAGGGTCCCTGGTGGAGGCAGGACAGAATTAGTGCCACTATGCAAAGCAGCCAGAGAGGAAGGGCCCCAGCTCAGTGGAGGCAGATGCCAAAACAAGCCAGTTCCCTGTGGCAGCCCAGAGACCAATCTGGCTCTGAGTGGGCATCGCTGCGCAATGGAGAGGTTGACGTGAAACCCCAGCTCCAGTGCTTTAGCCGCCTGCCCCATCTGGAGTTCCAGGGGGAGCTGGTAAAAACGGGTGCTGCTCTCACTGGTCCCCACGCGCTGGCTGTGGCTCTCCAGTTCCCTGTGGGCAGGGATTTCTCCAGAGCCTGGATGGCCAAGGAGCGTTTTAGGGTCTCCCCAAGGTCAACAGGAAGGGGAGCCCAGCCTGGCTTTACACTCACATTAATTGCGTAATGGCTCTTGAGCTCCGAGCCGTGACTGGTCCCAGTCACTCCAGCAGCTGGCAGGTTGGGGCCCTACTTTGTAGGATTCCAGGGACCATTCTATGGTGACCTTGTCATTCTAGGGGGCTTCTGATGTAATGATTAGAAAATGAAGGCGTCACCTGACTAAGGCCCTTAAAGCGTACTACCACAAAACAAAGCCTCCCTTTTTAGGAGTCTCTCTTACATGGCTCTGGGTCAAACAACAAAATAATAAATGTACAGGCTAGGTGGGAGTCAGCAGGGTAGGGGGATGGTGGAAGCAGGAACCCCCAAGCTTCTAGGGTAACTGGAAAACAAAGCCCGCATGGGCAGCACAAGGCCGTAGGTCGGCGAGAAGTGCAGAGCTGGGGTCTGAGCAGGGATCGGGCAGGGACTGGGCACTTTGGGAGGCTTCCTGGTGGGGGCCTTGCAGGACAGTGGGATTTGGATGGGCAGGAAGGAGAGCTCCAGAGCAGGACTCAAGCGCTGCTGGTTGGCTGCAGAGAGCAGGAGAAGGGCAGCTGCACCAAGGAGAAGGGCAAGGCAATCGATCAGCCCTGGGCCCAGCTGGGGTCAGAGCAGGGGACTAAAGGGGGACATGACTACAGGTCCCAGGCGGACCTTCAGAGAGAAGTAGCAAGTGAGCCCAGGAGAGGTCCTCGAGCCCCATGGCAGCTGTCCCCTTCTACGCCCTACAAGCCCACAGGCACCCAAACATTTGTGCTCAAACAGATACTCTCATTCACCCCATATCCATAGATGTCACAAGCCTGGGTGTGGTTTCTTAAGACACATTGTTTATTCCATGGGAGAATGGGCTCCAGGCCAGGAGCCCCTTGTGTGAGAGGGTGGTAGAGGGTAAGACAGGGATGAAGCTCTCGGTGGCCCATCTGTGGCCAAGTGGGGGTGGGCCACAGCCCTTCCCAGGCTTCACAGGAAGCTGTCTGCTGAGTCCGTTGGCAGGTTCCAGACAAGTCTGCCTTCCCTGTCCTGCACGTGGGATGAATCCCCGCATAGCACCCGAGAGAGATGGGTCCAGTCTATCCCCAGAGAACTCCCGCTCCAAATCACTGTCCTGTAGCCCTTCCACTCCAGTCCCTTAGGCAAGAGCTGGGACCAGGGGCTGGATGGGCAGGCAGACCTGGTGGGCCAGCTTTGGGGGCCAACAGGGGGTCCAAGGGGAAGGGGATGGACTGGGAGCCAGGTGGCTCTGAAGCAGTCAGTGAGGGTCCAACAGGCTGGGCCCAGGAGCATGGGGAGGGCTGGTCGCTCACTCCTGGCCTGGGTGCTCACCCACTGACCACTTCACTTCCCCTGTCCGCAGAGTCACTATGTCTTCGTAGGTGGCCGTCTGGTCAATGTTCAGGCCCTGGAGACATGAAATGAAGCTCAGGCCTTGGCCATTCCCCAACCACACCAACAGATGGTGCAGCTGACCACCCCATGGCCCTCAGAGCTGGGGGTCAACCCTGTTCCTTACCTCGTAGGTATGGTCTTCCTCCATCCCAGCCTTATTGTCATCCTAGCAAGACATGGAGAGCAGAGTGTTGGCTTCACCCACCCCATCAACTACTGGGCCAGGATAGGGAAAGCCAGGCAGATTGGCCTGGGGTCTGGGGTCAGGGGTCAGGGGTGAGGGATCAGGGGGCCAGGGGTCAGTGGTCAGGAGGTGAGGTGCACTCTGCAAGAACAACTGAATGAGTGAAGGAGTGATGAAACAGGCAACTCAACGGGCAGACTCGGGCTGGCGAGATGGAGACCCTGCCCATGTCTAGCCTGCCCTGTGGCAGCCTCCCCAGCCCTCAAAGTCACCTTGTCCAGGAGCAGGAAGATGGGCACAGTGATGAAGAGGATGATGAGCAGGGTCTGGATCATGATGATGCTGTCTTTCAGTGTGTTCCGCCTCTTCAACTGAGCCAAGGTGCTGAACCCTGGGGGGAGGGTGGGGACACTGAGGCTAGGGCCACACTTTGGGCCCGCACCCCTCAACCTCTCTCGGCGGCTCTCCTGGGTGCTCTAGAGCAACAGCCACCTCCATAATGTGGCCCCTCACTGGCGGCAGGCTGGGTGGGGTTGGGTGCGATGGCTCCGTGAACACCCCTGGCCCCGTCCACTCCCACTCCCTCCCTGGCTGAAGGCAGGCCTCACCCACCCATGACTCGAAGTTCAGTGCCACAGCCCAGCTCAAAGGACCCGTTCAAGCACTTTCGCTGACAGATGTAGATGCCGTTGTCCTGAAACTGGACGTTCTGAATGGTGAGGGTAGCGTTGGTTTTGCTGTGGGTCTGTAGGATGCGCCCCGGCTCCGAGGCCAGCTCCCTGGCCTCCGAGTCCACATCCTGCTTCCAGAGCCAGGTCACAGGGTCCCCACGCTCCATGTGGCACCTTATCTTCGCCACAGAGCCCCGTTTCTTGGCCAAGAAACGTGGGTACTGCCAGATCCGGGAACAAGCGTTTCCTGTGGGTGACAAGGCCAGGATCAGAATCTCACCCAGCACCTTCCAGGGCCTCCACCCTGGGTGGCACAAACCCCTGGCTCAGCCCCCTGCTTTGTCCTTGCTTCCCAGGGTGTGGGACAACCATTGGTGTGAGGGGGGCGGGGTGGAGCCACAGGAGAGGCCAGAGGCCAAATCACCAGACCCCACCCCTTCCTGACATTTGCGTTTGCTTCAGAAGGGCCCAGGAAGCTTCCGACTCCTTCCATGCCCATTACAGCAGCCTGAACCAGGCCTCGCCCCCCCACAGTCCCACCCGGCCCATGCTCCCACCTCTCCCCGCCCCGGGCTGCTCTGCACCAGTCCGAAATCCTCAGGGGCTCCCCACAAATCCTGAGCCTGGTATTGATCCCCTGCCATCCTTCCTTCATCACCCCCCTCCACCCCCGTGCACGGACCTGCTCCACTTTTTATTCCTAAACCTTCTCTCTCAGCTTGGCATGCTCTCTCCACCCACCTGCTCCAAGAGGTCTCCCCTGCCTCACTGTTCCCAGCGAGTGGCCCCCTAGGAATCCCCGAGCCCCTGCGTCCTGTCAGAGCCCCCTTCTGGGGCTGAGTCCAACTCCCCAGCTTGACTAGCCCAGCCCCTCGGTCTAGTGACAATGACAACTGGCAGGGGGTTGGGGATATCGGGTGGCGGCCAGGAGGCCTCAGAGCCAGGCTTTGGAGAGGGAGACAGGGAGGCCTAGGGACAGGAGTTCCAGACGGGGAGACCTAAGGGGACGAAGGCACAAAGGACAGCCATAAGGACAGTGACTGGCTTTGGACACCGGCATCCTTGCCCCCAGCAGGGGCAGGGGAAGTTGCTGACCTTGGGGATTCCGTAGCAGGTCTTTTGTTTCAGCTGCAAACACAGTCTCACCTGCAGGTTGGGAGGAAGTGGGCGGGGCCAAGTCAGGACCTCTCGGGGAGCAGGCTGCCCCTCCCCTGCAAGCCTCCCACCCTCTGAATTCCCAGACCTGCTTCCTCCTCCCCCACGGCAGCTTCTAGACCCCTCAGCCCTCCCCAGCCCTGCTCTGAAGAGACAGGAGGGGGTGGGGGGTCCCCAGAAGAGCCGCCTCCTAGCCCCACTTCTGCCTTGAGCGCACCTGGATGAAACAGGACGGAGGTCGCAGTTACAGGGCTCTCCCGCCCTCCAGGGGATGCCATTTCTGGAATACTATGCTCTAGGGCCCCACTGGGGGCAGCCTCTCCTGCATCCCCCCACCCAGTGTCCTTCGGGGTGAACCACGCTCCCCCCCCTCTTCCTCTCTGGCCTGGTCTTCCGCGGTCAGAACCGCCAACCCTCAGGCCTAGCTCAGCCTGATACCTGGCAGGGGGAGAATGGCCGAGGCCAGACGCCAAGCTCATCAGTACGGCCGATGCCCGATGCCCACAGACTCAGGCCCCGGCAGTCAGGGGAGACAGAAGGCAGACAGGGTGAGAGACAGGAGAGGACTGGCGAGAACAGAGACGGAACTGGTGGAAACAGAGAGAGAGCGAAACCAGCAGGCCTCCCCGAAGCGGACTGTACCTGAGAGAAGCATCAGCAACACCACCAGCCCGTTGCTGGGCACAGGGGACAGCGCCAGCCTGGCCATGGTCACTGCTGGTCTCTGACCCCAGCCCGCGATGACGAGGAAGGCTCCTGGGGGGAAAACGTGTAACTGCCTAGACTGTAGCCTGTCCCCTCCCCGCCTCTTCCCCACCAGGCCCCTTCCTGCCATGCAAATAGGGACCCAGGGGAGGCACCAGCCCTCTGGGGACCCTGCGGAAAGGCGGGCTCTCTTGTCAGCTGTGTTGCTGAGGCTCAAAGTCGCCCCAGCTTGGGCACCACAGCTCAGGTCTATGGTGGGCATCCCTGCGAGGCCCAGACCCCTGAGCCTTCCGAGGACAGCTGGTGCTTTCCTCCAAGTGTCCCCACCCCACTGAGGCCCTGGGACCTGCCAGCCTCCCATCCTGCAGTCTAGAGTCCCAGGCACTTAGCTGAATACACTTGGGTCCTGTAGATGAACTTGAGAGTGACCTCTCTGCCCTGGACCAGCCTGGACCTGGGTGAAGAGAGGCACCAAGAAAAGATGGTGTGGGGGTGCGAGGGCAGCTGTGGGCCCAGACCAGGCACCAGGAGGGACCCAGAGCATAGCCTCTTGGCTGGAGTGCAGGAGCCATGCTAGGAATTGATGGAGATTTGACCCTGTGGAGTAAGGGAGCCACAGAGGTTCTTGAGCAAGAGCAGGCCAAGTGTGGCAGCCACTTGGGAGAATTGGTCCACACCCTGGTGTGAGGCCATCCCTCCCTCACTTGGTGGGAGATTTTGCTGGGTGACGCTGAAGGGGGTGCACTTAGGTGGAGATGGCTTAGAGAAAAGCCACCACTCAGCCATCAGGGGACTCCCGGGACACTGAAGTGTTGTCCATAGCTCTGGGTATCTTTGGGGGGGGGGCAGACAGGTGGCTAAGGCTGGGAAGCCTCCAGGTTCTGAAATGAACTGGCTTAATCTTGCCAGTCAGCAGAGCAGAGGATGGAACCAGAGTGATCAGAAACTTGTCGAAGCTCAGCTTCTGTGCCCTTGGGTCAGACCCAGCCCTTGCCCCTGCGTGGGGTTGTGGGGCGCCCTCGTGCAGTGCAGCCTGCAGCCGATCCCACTCCGGGTTTTATGTCTCCTGGAAGCCTCTAGTCTCCTCTCTATTCCTAACCCCTAGGAGAGGAAGAAAGATGCTGTGTCCCCCGCCTGCATCCCATTCTCCCTATCGCCCTCCATTTTGCAAACAGCTTGGGCTGCTGGTGGGTCCGTTTGGGTTTAGGGAGATGTGGAGCCTCCTCTCTCTCATGCCAGGGTCGGCAGTGAGGAGGGCGGCGGTCTGGATGCTTCCCCTCAGCCCTAGGCACAGGCCTCACCTGGCACACCCGGGTCTGTCCCCAGGAGCACGGGCCAGGACCGGGTCTGTCCCCAGGAGCACGGGCCAGGACCGGCGCTACGGAGAATGGGGACTGGAGGGTTAAGGTTTTGTCCAAGGAGCGGCTTGTTCTCGGCAGCCCCAGATGTTCTGTTTCCAGATGTTGCAAATGAAAAACATTTCCCCGAAAAGGTGTCAGATGTTCAGTTCACAGAACAAACAGCCCAGGATTATAAACATCACCTGAGGTCAGCGTGGGGCACCTAGGCCCCTGGGGCTGGTGGGGGTGTTTGGAGACCCCCTTCCCGTAGAATGGGGGGAAATCCAGCGGTCTCTTCCTTTAGCAAAATACCTCCTGGTGATGTAGGCCTTGGTTAGCCTTGGGGCTTGTGGCACCCACAGGCGGGAAGGCTCGGGGCGCACACGCGTGGTCCTGGGGCCCAGGGTGACTATGGGGGCACAAAGACTAGGGGGTAGTTGGCACCCTCCAAACACACATACACACCCGCCGGGGGACATGGACGCAGATGTGTCCTTTGGACTCATTCCCATTCATACCCGGCAGGGATATGCTGTTAGGAGTAGATAGGGGCAGGGTTATTTGTCATAGTTGGGGCCGTGCTGTTCCCTCCCTGGTGACAACAGTATCAAGCTCTGTCTGGGTTCGTGACGCCTTTTCTTTCCTGGAACATGAGGCCTCTGCCCCTGGCTCCCCTGGGCGGCACATCCCGACATCTGGGGGCCTCCGCCCCGCCTTTCCAGGAAGGCAGCATCAAAACAAGAGCTGGGGCCCTGGGCGCTCTCGTCTGTGCACCAGAGGGTTGTGGGTTCAATTCCCAGTCAGGGCACACACCTAGGTTGTGGGCTCAGTTCCCTGTTGGGGCATGAATGGGAGGCAACCGGTCGATGTTTCTTTCTCACATCAATGTCTCTCTTTCTCTCAACCCCTCCCTCTCTTTAAAATCAATAAAAGCATATCCTCAGGTGAGGATTTAAACAACAAACAAACAAGAGATGGGGGTGTAGGGAGGGAAGACGAAGGGCGCGCGGGTTTGGGGAAGCAAGGGGGCGGGGGTCGCCAGCAACCCTGGAAGCTGGGAGGGGGTGGAACCTCAGCTTGGAGAGAAGGGCTGACCTCTGTCCCTCTGCCAGTCCACGCTGACTGGCTCCACTGGGTCCCCCAGCGACTGCAGGTGAGCTTTGCATTCTCGGACTGTTTGTTCTGTTCCTGGGAGGAGGCTGCTGGTTAACAAGATACAAGTCTGAATCCTGGCCCCGATGTGTTCCAGCCAGAAAGGCTCCCCAAGTTACCTGGTGGTTCCCAGGGACGGTGGTTCCGCTCCCCTCTGGGAGCGTTTGCAAATGCGTCAGGGCCATTTTGATGGTTGCAGGGACCAGAGGGCACCGTGGGCGTCATGGGCCAGGGGCACTAAAGGCCCAGCGGTGGGAGGGACAGTCTCACAAAGCAGACCGTCTCTGCCTCCCACACCCAGTTAGGCATCACCCATTCTTAGCTTTTCAGGGTCCAAATGTCCTCACTTTTGTAAAATAGAAATCATCGTAACAATATGTTCTTCACGGGGTGGTGGTGAGCCTTAGAGAAAGTCCTGTATCTGCGGCAAGGTACCCTGCACCCCAGGTCACCCTCTGGAGGGTGATGAACAGCACTGACACCTGGGGGGGCTGGCTGAACGTTAGCCTTGCTGATCTCTTTCTCAGTGTTTTGTCCTGTTTCTCCCGCCATTCAAGGCTCAGGGCGATGTGGCCTGGGATGCCCTGCCAGCTCTCCCGTTCTTAGGGCAGCGTAGGGCCCTTAAGGTGAGAAGGAGCCAGGACCCTGATGGGGGCTCAGAGAACCCTGCGGCGATGCGGGGCCCCTCCCCCACGGAGGAGAACAGCAGGTCTGGAGGGACCTTGGGGACGTGGCTGAGGGATGTCGGGGCAAGCGATCTGTGTGTGCCAGGGGGGCCATGGAGCCTCAGGACCCAAGAAAAGGGGGTGCAGAAATCCTGTAAAGGACTAAGTGTTTACCAGTTTGGAGGAATATAGCCCTGGGAGGCAAACATCAAGTTGCAGGAAATAAAATCATATACAAAATTATATGTCACCCACTGGGACTATGACTGAGCTTCCTACATAGTACTCTTTGTCACAGACCCACGGGACTCTGGGCTCTCTGGGGTCGGGGGTCAGACAGGGTCCGGGTGGGGATGGTGTCTCTACGGAGAGTGAGGGGCACCGCGGGGCTCCTGTGGGGGGTGGAGAAGAGAAGGGGTTTCCAGAGAGGAGGGGCCGGGGATGCAGGACCCCAGTGCCTGTTTCCTGGGCACTGCCATGGCCGAGGAGAGAGGAGCATGTGACCCCTGACCACCTCTGGCCTCTCGGAGCCCAGCTGGAGTCCAAGTTTTCTCTTAGAAGGGTGTCAGAGAGAACACGGTGGGTCCAGAGGAGGGAACTGGGGCCATCTGCCCTCCCTGAGCCCCCAGAGGCTCCCCAAGCCCTGAGTGCCCCCTGATGGCCTCCACCCCGGTCGACGACGCAGTGGAGTGGCCAAGGAAGGAGCCCACACGTCAGAGGCGCGAGGGGGAGATTCATTGTAAGAACTGTACAAAGGGGCCTGTCCGCGGCGGACAGGGTGCGCATGGGTGTGGGGGTGCAGTGCAGCGGGGTGCAGGCCAGGAGGCCCTACGGTCTGTCCAGTTATCCAGTCCAGCAGAGGCGCGGGCTCTCTTGGGGCCACGCCAGTCCAGGGCCCGAGGAGGGGAAGGCAGGGGGCAGCGTGCTGGTCAGGAGGAGGCTGCCCCCCTGGAGGATGAACTTCTGAAGGCAGAGCCGGATGGAGGTGGCCCCATTCCAGAGGACGCAGGCAGGGGACGCGGGGGGGCTGGAGCAACGGTGTGATGAACAACAGTGGACGGGAGAATCAGGGAGTCACAGGGAGTGAGAGAGGGACGCCCCGGCAGGGCACTGAGGAGGCCAGAGGGTGGGGCAGACAGAGAAGCGGGCTCCAGCCTGTGTGTGCGCGCAAACACACACACACACACACAAGCACGCACACACACACACATTGTTTTGGAGGTTTGCTGCTTCCTGAGTTTTAATCAAACTGTTCACAAGAAACAAGAAAAAAAAAGAAGAGGAACTAAGGCCAACAGGGACTCGACCTTCACACGTGTTCATACTCGTACACGCACTCAGCACAGGCACTTACATGGACAGGCCTCCACAGAAGACGCACACACCAGCCAGACACTACAGCGGCACACGGACACACACGGACACACACATACCCAGACACATGCTTCTGCAGGCACCGTGGGGCATGACGTTCACACACTTGAACACACACACGAGTGAATCGACCCAGTGACCCCCTCCCTCCACACTCAGCCTGACTGTTCTCCGGGATTCGGCGGAGGCCTCGCACTGCTGTGCCCACATCAGCTATGCCAGCCCCAGGGCCGCCTGGCTCTCCAGGCAGCAAGAAGTGGGAAGGTGGGGCCTGAGCCAGGTGGGCCGGGCAGGCCCCGTGAGAAACCTCTGTACCGTGCTTAGGCTCACTTTTAGGAGGGCGGGAAGGATGAGGAATGAGGGAGGGCGGGAGGGAGAGAACAAGATGCTTCCTCCTGAGTGCCGGGGTTCCCGACCCCACCCCAGGTCTGGGTGCTCAGGCCAACCAGGGTGCCCAGCGCGGTGACGCTCTGGTGGGCACGACCTGTGCCACCCATCCATGCTTCCTTGCAAAAGCCAGTTCCAAGTGGGATCCCCACTTGCGTTCTTC